TTACCAATGTGGCTATGTTTATATGGGTTATTAAACACATGATTTGTAAGTATTCAAATATTGATTTATTGAACGATGTTAATAAGATTCAATACTAATTTATATTTTTTTTAGCGACTGCAGCTTATCAGAACCTAATACAAATTTTACTTTATCCTAAATTTGAAAAAGAACATTTGATTACCAATTTGCAAAGTCTTAAAAAGCAACATGAACAACTCCCTTTAATGAAAATTCAGAGTCATGTAATTCCAATAAACACTAAAAACACACCATCAACTACAAAAGACTCTAAGAGAATTTATTATTTTTCTTTAATTGAACATCTTCAACGAATATTAAAAAATCCTTTTCTCAGTTCTCAATTATATTTTGGGCCAGGTATTTTTTCAATATCATATGAAGAGCTATGAGAAGGAGATCTTTGGGCTGAATCTCCACTTTTTGGCCAATCAAATTTAATTACAGCACAAGGTACTGTATATATTGATTTATATTAGTTATTTTTATGTATATAATATATTAAATAAATTTTATTTTAGGTTCATTTGATTGTGGAGATTTTATTCAATATTATTCTCCTTCAAAATCTGTTGAGATTGGTAGAATTTGTTCTTTTATAATTGTAAATGAAAGATTAGCAATTCATATTCAAAGATTAATTTCTTATGAACAAATTCCACAATATCTGCATTCAAAAAAACATGCTTCACATTCATTACAAGGATGATATTTGGTTGAAGAATCAGAATTTTTCATTATTGATCCTTCATCATTAATTTGCCATATTAATATTTGGCTTCAAGACCAACCTCCTCTGCCTATAGTTGAATTTTTTGTGAATAAAATCCTATATTACTATAATGGACGATAGAAGATCCGTTCAATAAAGTTACGTCATCAACATCCAGCTGAGCGTATATCCGTTAAATTTTCAACAAATTTAAATATGCCAATTTTAAATTTTATTTGAATTTGTATTATGATGATTTTAGCACCTTTTGTAATACATATCATTCTTTGGGTGGTGTCTATTTACAAATAGGTAACATGCCACGAAAATTAAGGAAACAATTAAGGAATCATTTTGTAATTGGATTAGTACCATTTGGTGGCAATTTTCAAGATTTTATAACAAACTTTATTAAAGAAATTCAGCAACTTGAAAAAGGATTTGTAATGAATGTAAATGGTGTTGATTGCTAGATTTCAGGTAGGTTGGCTATGGTTACGGCAGATTTGCTACAGGGGAATGATATTGTAGGTGTTTTGCGTCACAATGCTAATTTAGGATGTCGTAGCTGTAAAGCTACTAAAAATGAATTAACAAATATAACATTTGACATATATTCCAATGGCCGGTATCATCAAATAACAGATAGAGAATTTCAAAACATAAATAGAGAACAAATAAATACAGCACGATCACAACTTTATTCTCAATATAGTCTACAACTATCACCAGGTCTGCTTGATTCTATTCTTTATGATCGTCATCAATATGTTCCACAAGATGCATATCATTCTGTTGCTAGAAAAGTAGCACAGCTTCTTGATTGCACTTGTCTTATTTTAACATTACAAGGAGAAAATAATTTAATCAAATACTGGAAATGTTTTGAAGTTCCAGCAAAATGGGCACGTTTACCAAATCCAATTTCTCATAGGCATTAATTTATGATGTCAGATTTATTACGTATTTTGATGATATTTCCTTTTATATTAAGGCGTTGTTTAACGATTGGTAATATCAAGACTACTTTTTTAGATGAAACAAGAACCCGATTAAAATTTTCTCGCCAAACTGATGTTGTAAATTATTTAATTCGAGCTTAGGGGCTATCTGCAAAAGCTAGTAAAAAAGTTTTTTCATTAGCTATTGACAGATCAAATGTGTATTCTCAACTTCAAAAAGCATTGGATAAAGAATTTAATGCATTAACTGAAGTATTTTTATTTACTATTTTATTTTAATGCTTTTTTCGTGTTGATTTTTTTTATATTACTAAATGTTTTAATTTTTTTAAAAAAATTTTCTTAGATATTTTTCACAAATTTTCAAAATCTTTCAAATCTTCATGTAAGCCGACACCTGGTAAATCATGCATGTCAATATTCAACGTGTGTTAACACAGCCGTTGGTGTAAAGGAAATGGTACACTAAATCTTTAAATCAATTGTACCATATACGAATAAGCACAACCTTGAACTTACATTACTTCGGCAAGTTAATACTTTACAAACGTTAAGTTATTTAGCAGAAGGTGGACTAGATGATCGCGCAGACAATACAGAACCACGATCAATATTTAAAGAGTTCATTATTGAACCACGATTATGTCACCTCCTATCAGGTTAGTGTATTGATGATAGTAGCTTTCTTTAATACATGTTTTAAATAATGCACAAAACGATGATCAAGGTAATAAATAATTATGTACTGGTGATTTTTATTTATGTTTACCATTACTAAATGTAAAATGTTAATAGATATTGATGATAGAAATTTAACACACTCCAATTGTACTGAAATTAAACTTGGATCGAAGTGGAATAAGCATAAAATTGAAAGTGCTGGATTTATTTCTACAAACCTTGAAAATAATGGACTTTTGGAAAGCATTATGCGAGTATATTCTTCTTATTTTTCTTGGGAACAAGCTTTATTAAAGACAAAGGTTAACTATTATCAAAGTGTTTCATATTCTATAGTTGAGCCTAATGGGAATTATCAACATGTAAAGTTATGCGTTGGTAAAGCAGTTGAAACAACTCTGTCTGCTGATAGCCAATCTGCATTTGGAATTATTAAAGGGATAATTGAATACACATGGAACGACGATCAAGTTTATGTGTTTATTTATTTGGACTGGTTGGAAGATCTTAAAAAACGTGATAATTTATTGGATTGTCCTATCTATCATCTCCAACACACATGCAATAATTCTTGGGATCAAATTCATCCAATTTCCATTGTGTCTAAGTCACCAAATGTTCCATTCATCCATTATTGTAAGGCAGGATGCTCTTCACAACGACATGATACTATAAATCGGGAATATATCTGAAATGATTTCTTCTTTACGACAATTTAAAGATTTAGTAGCTTTTAAAAGGTTGGAATGGCCGTTATTGTAGTTGAGTCTCACATCAATTTTAATAGTTAGTATTAATTTGACGCTAACATTACCACTTTTATCTGTCATTAATATGTCGCACAAAATGTCTGGAATCTGCTTGATTTTGTCGCACAGGAGTATATTCTTGGAAAATTAAAAGTATTACGTAAGTACTATTTTCATATATCTGATATATAATTATTATACAATGCGGTGTGATTATTACCGATATATTATTAATTATGTAGTGGTTTTGGTATTGGTTTTGTGCTGGTTACAAGAGTTGATCTATTAAGATTAGTTTCAGTTTATACTAGATAGAATTCTTGATTGCAACATATAAGCTTAATTAAATGCAAATATTTGGCTATAATTGTCCTGTATATTTAAATGCAAATTAAAAATAATTTAAATATAATCGAAATTTAAAGATTATTTCATCCATTAAAAATGGTATAAAATTGCTAAATTAAACCAACTTTAAGGAAAATTTTGCGATAGAAAAGTTCATTATCAGCGATATTAAGTGGCTTAATTTTAGCAATAAAATAAGGCAAAAAATGCCAATTTTTACCTAATCCCATTTCAGAAAAATTAGAATAGAAGTCACTTCATAAAAAAATATCAACAAGGTATTGAAAATGTTGAAAAGGCTAATAACGTGCTAAAAGAAAATGATATCAAGTTACTTTTGATAATTATTGATCTTTGGAAAAAGATTAAGTCAGATAAGTTGATAGATTTAATAAATGGAATCTACCAGGATGAAGAATCTGTGAAGACTGAAATTTCTAAAAAATTCTTACGAAAAAAAAAGACACAAAAGAAATATGCTTAAGAATTAGGAATTACCCTATGGTCTTATCTAAGAGAATTAAAAGAAAAAAGAAAAATTCTTTAACAGAGCTCAAATCAAAGAATAGAGAAATATGATGGGTAAAATTTTAGATAGATTTAATTAGTAGAATATGAAGTCAATTTTATTGCCATCGATCAATTATGTAAATTCTTAAATATTAATTTTATTGCCTTTGATAATCATGATGTCCATTTAGTTGCCTGCAGATCTGGCAATTTTATTGACACAGCAACTTTATTGCCTAGCGAAATGGTAATTTTATTTTCTTCAATATATTTAGTTTAATTTATTTATTATTTATTTAACATGTATAAATATCTCTGTATTTTCTTTGAGTCTTAGCACCGACGAGATATTAATCTTTTAGGTATCAAACTTATATATTATATTAATAAAGGAGTATAATTAGCCAAGTATAAAACTTATTCTTCGCAAATCTTTTAAAACTGTTATAAATTATCTGTGATCCTTTGCACTTGTGCAATTCCTTTAATTATTATTAGTAAGCTCACTATATAATATTGTATTGATTCACTATATTGATTTGGAGTCTCTAAAGCATAATCTTTGAAATATCTTTGTGTTATCTTTGAGTTATCTTTGTGTTTATTTTGTGTTTATCTCACGTGATTTATATTGAGAATAATTCTTTGACATTATTATGAATCTTCACCTGTGATTCTCTGAATAATTGTCTTAGTTTTATTTACCTTTTTGAGATTTTATTTGAAGTTACGAAACCATCGTAATAATGTATTATCTTCAGATTAATGGTCTTATTAAGTGATTCAATAAAACATTATTTAAAATGTTAGCAAAGTTTACAAATAAAATAAAAATGATTGGATGATTTTCTGCTATCTACTTTATTTGCATATTATACAAAAAGGTTTAGTACTATTTGAAATGAATCCTTCTATTTAACCTATAAAAAAATGTTATATTATCAATTAAATTCTAAGTATAAATATCAGATGTGTAAAATGTAAAATTAGATTAATAAGATGATCTAATTAATTATATGTAATAAATAATTGAAAGAATAAAAATAAAGTGTAGTAAGTATAAGATAATATTAAAAACTCTCAAAAGAGGCAAAAGGAATGACATGATTGCAAATTAATAAAGAAACATAATTTTGAAGTTAAAGAATTAGTTTTAATATATAAAAGTAATTTATAAGATAAAAAGAAGCTTAAGAAATAGTAAAAAGGATTATATTATATTCATGCTGATCTTGAAAATAGAATATACAAATTGAAAACTCTAGATAGGAAGATCTTAAAAGCATTTATCAATAATAACAGATTGAAGCAATATTACTAATATGATCTACTTTAACCTATTTTGTTAATTGAAAATTGAAGAAATTAATAGAAAATACTAGATTAATTTAATTAAAAAATATTTAAATAAGAGGAAATCTAAGTTAAGTTTATTAGATTAATAAAAATTGAAAAACTGGAAATGCTTTCCTTTATACTAAAATATTTTTTCAAAGTTTTTAAATAATATATGTTGATTTGCAAATTATCATATCTCAGGATATCCTCCATTTTATAAAAAATTATACTTATGAAAATCAAATTTTTTCTTGTAAATTAAATGTTACAAAAAGCTAGCAAATGAATAATTGTATTTTAATGTTAACAAATACTTTTTATCTTAAAAATTTTTAAAGAAATAGAAGATTTTACAATTTGATTGTATATCAAAAAGCTATTCAAATATTATTACATGCATTTATACAAATGTATTATATATTTAAATTTTTTAGACTAAAACAGATTACACAAATAAATGGATTACTCTTAAAATAATGGTTGAATTATTAATAGTAAAATATAATGATTTAGTTGCATAAAGTTATTAGATTTATGTGAGAACGTAAAATCTTGAAGGGAGTAATATTATATAAGAGAAATTATTGATAATGATGATCTAAAAGAAAATGATTATTCCTAAGAAATCATTTATGTCTTATATATTTTTATATTATCTATGCTATTTATTTCTTCTATATAATATATTATTTCTATTTATTTTACTCATTTATTATTATATTATTTATTTCATATATTATATTTATTTCTTTTATTATATTAATAATTTTATATATTTCATTTTATATAAATAGAGAATATTTTCTTTTAGATTAGCATATATCTTAAAATAGTTTTATTAGATAGTTTACTTTAATTTTTCTAACATATTTATATAGTATAGAGTGTTGACTTAGATAGTACATAACTGTTACCATTATTAAATAAACTGTCTATCATTTACTTTTTCTAAATTAATTATAAATTATCCTTCTGCTTATTATTTGAAATTATCATTTTGTTTATCACTTATAAGCATCTTAAAGAACAGGTCATAACAATAGAAATGCTAATAGTCATAATTATAACTGGTCATATTGTGATTAATATTGGTCAGTCAAAAGCTTTTAACTGATTTATTGACTGGATTCTAACTGATTTAACTGATCAGAAAATCAACTAATTTGAGACTGAATATTCATGTTTAAATAGTAAAACACTTTGTATTAATTTAACAAAATCAATCATTTAAAAAAAGATTAGAAAATTGATTATTAGCGATATTAATTTGCAATTGTAATTGATCATTAAATTAAATTTAATAATTCCATTTTATTTAAATTTTAAAAAAAATATATAAAAATCAATTTAATATTAAATATAAGAAATTATAATATATATATTAAATGTATTAATAATATATTATTTTTATATATAAGTTTTTATAAAAAAACTGTAACTAAATATAAGTTTCATAGTTCTTATCTAAAATGTATTAAAAGTAAATTAGAATAAATTTGTTATTTATAAAAAATTAAGTATAATATATTTTGATTAGAAATTATTTTATTGTAATTAAATATTTTGATATTACAATTATATGAAAATTAAAATACTATACATGATTAAATATAATTTTATAGTATTATATCAAATATAATAAACAGTTTTTTTTTTGAAATTTTAGTTTAAAAATTTTTAATTAATTATAATTTATAATATATATTTATATATCTATAAATAAAATTATAAATGTAATATATTTAATAAATATTTCAAATATTATTTTTATTATAATAAAATATTTATTCTTAATAGTTAAATAACTTAGCAAAAATGATTACAAATTTTGCTAAATATTATAACATTACTTTATTTATACATTTTATTAATTGACTTTTATGTTAAATTGTAATTTTCATAATTTGAAAAAATTTTTTTTCTATTTAACATTTATAAGATTAATTTTATAATTTTATTTACATTATTGTCTAAAGCATAAGGACAATTAATTTTTATGTCAAAGCAATGCAATGTCATTCTGTCTTGCATATTAATCAATTAATAGAATTCTGTGTAGCTGGTCATATTTGTTTTACAAAATTAAATGTTAAAAAATTGGATTTTTATTATAAGTTCTATTATACTTCAGTCTAGAATAGTTATCATTCTTTAATTTAAATAAAATTAAAGAAAAAATTTAATATTACAAGTTAAAAGTATAGTATAGTTAAGTAAATAATTTCAATATAATTTATAACTGCTAAAATATTCATTATCTGAAATTTAAATCAAAAAAGATGTTCTTTTTTATTATATACAATTATATAAAATATATAGTAATATGCAAAAAAAATGGTAATTTTTAAATTCGTGATAGTTATATAACTATTATACTAATTGAAATATATAATATATCATTTTAAAGCTAAGAAGTAGTAGATTTTATTTAAAAAAATTTATATAATATTTATTTACTATTTTTCTCAATAATCTTTCTATCATGTTATGATATCAAATCTATAATTACAAAGTTATTTGGTATTTTATTTTCATTTATCATTTATAAACTTTTTAATTTACTAAGGTTTTTTAGCCTATATAATCCCACATTCTTTTTAAAATTATCTAATAGTTTTCAATGAGTTCTAAACCTAGATTATTAAAAGAGTAATCCATAATCTTTAAGATATTATTTTTGAAAAATTACTTAGTAAAAACTAAATTACTTAATAAAATGATTAAAACACTATCTTGCTAAAGATTTA